CGCGGTGTCCTGAAACCAGACGGGAAAGGGCCACAAGAAGGCGCGAGAGACCCACTGCACTGCATGGATGCTGCCGACTATGACTCTGGAGTGCAGTGGGGACTGGGCCTCCTCCACTGGATTTAGCAGCATGGTGGTGACTGGTGACCTCGTCGAGTCAGCACTGACCGAATGACTGGTCACTGAGTGGTCAAAATGGGTTCAGGAGAGAACAGAAGCACAGGAACTAAGGATAACAAATAAAAGCAATAATTTTTAAGGAGTCATTCTGTAAAGAGGATAGGTGCTATAGATAAAGGAAAAATTAGGGTCAACAGTTTCATTTTATTAGGATGATAGATGTCTGCATTCCTATTGCAAAGATTCAGTAGAGAAGGAAAAATAAAAACTGACGGTGCGGGGGAATACAAGGTAAGAGTTCATTGTTTAAGAATGGGATTTCGGTGCCTATGCTGGAGGTGAGGCCTCAACCAGAATTAGAGCAGCACCAGATGGGATCTGTGACTGGCCAGTAGGCAGCCGCCTCACCTTTAAGACATCACTGCAGCAAGGAGGTGGTCTGCTACGGAAGGGAAAGGGACAGTCCTCAAAAGGTGTCTGAGCTCTGAGCTACAAGCAGGGCAGTCACTACCACCAAAAAAGTCTGAACTATGGTAAATTAACTTAGAGGCAGCCCCATAAATCCTCCACACTAAAAATGTAAAGATCTGTTTGCTATTCTTAGATTTGGTTGTATGAAATCATGGCGGTATTTACTTCCCAGAATCTCCTGACCATCTTCCCAACCTTTGTTTTTTCTGCTTTTGTTTAACCAATAGTGGTTACTATCCAAACTTTGAGCAAAAGCAAATGAAACAAAATGACCCTGATCCTTTTGTGCTCTGTGAGGCTAAAAGAGACACAAACATACATGAAAATCACATGAAAAACCCCAGGAGATAAAACATGAACTGACTGGGTTGGCGGCCCTGCAGCTATAAAAGCCTCTCCAATACTCTGCTCTGCAGACCACAATGCAGGAAAACCCCAGGTCCCCTGAAACCCCAAAATCCAAACACACGGTCATTTTCATGCCCTTCCGAAAGTTCTGTCAGAAAAAGATCTTATGAACAGTTTAATTCAGTGGGCAGTTTCCTTCTGAGCACATGTAAATCTTCAAATCCAAGTAATTAACCGCACACACATGTGTCCCTCTAATGTGTGTCTGAGAATGAACAGGCACATACGCCATGCCCAGCCTGAGTTAGACACTAAATGAAGAAAAGATATTCTGAAGTTGCCCACACATCTGTGAGTTACAAATATTTATAGTATTCATAAGGCCAGCAACCTTCAACACAATAACATTCTTTGCAGACACTCACTAAAACAAGTGGAAAAAAGAAAAGAAAAGGTCAAAATCCCATACAGAAGAAAACAGATGGAATGAGAGCAAGGTTTTGGGAAACCTTCCAGTATGGAAATTCCAGTGCATCCTAATGTGGATAATGGGAGCAGACAACCCTCCTGTCAGTGAACTTGACCCACGAGAAGTGAAATGCACGTGTCACAAGAGATCAGGTCTGCATAGGCCTTTCCAGATCTTTTCACGGAGGTTTTCCATCAGGCTGACTGGCCAACAAACAGGGCAGGAATAAGGGGTAGAGTCCACAGCTTTAGTATTTCTGACATGATGAAGAATGACAGGCTAAATCTTTACCCCACAATACAACCACGCAGCATGTTTGAGCAAGTGATATACTCGTACCAATAATATGCATAAAAATGAACAGCAAATATCACAAAATGAAATTCCTATCAGCACGGTGTCAGCCACTAAGATGCCAACAAGTCAGTAAGCAGATTTTCTTCACATGTAGTTTCTGTCTCCAGAAACTCAGTCTGGTTTCTTGTTGCCTATTCCCTGACTCAAAAGATGTCCTCTCACTTTCCTTATTCTACAGCCAAGAAATCTAGAACACCAAAAAAAGTATACATGGATAACCGAGTTGTGGCTCAATTTGTCCAAACCCAGGTGAACCTCCGACTGAGAAAGAGCAGTTAGCTAATTCTCTAATCTTTGGAATTTATGAACTGTGAAACCACTATTGCAGAAACATCATAACGAATATTTTAGGTGAGTGTGCTAACCTCAGCAGGTGAGGACATCAACTGATACATCACGCGATTTAACCAGCATTGCCTTGTCTTTCAGACACACCAGGTCACATTAAATATAATCACCAAATGCCAGGTACAAGGATAAAGTGAGAGGAAAAGAACTGTGATAACGATTTATTAATATTCAACATAATGGGTTAAGTACTATTAAGTAAAATATATTGAAGATGGTTGTTAAAAATATAGGAATGGGTGTAGCACATCTCAAAATGTAGAAATTAACCTTTCTCTTTTCCTAACCAAAAGAGAAATAAATTTAAAAGTTTCAGTTGTCCACTGTAAATTTGGTCTCCGTAGAATGAAGCAATGTGCAACTGAGATCTTTCATTCATACAAAGATTTTAATCATCTGAATATTCTCATTAAATTAAAATTGAGGATCAATTTTTGTCAGTGAGAAAGCACACAGGCAGAAAAAAGCTGTGAGGAAAAGCACAAAAGTCAATATGTATTCTCATATAACTGAACCGTTTTCTGAATTAAAAATTGAGTATATGTAATGAGTACATTTAATGAGTAGAAAGTAAAGAAGAAATGTATTATTTTTCTAAGCAGTGGCTGAAATAATTATTAAACATTTGGCAATACTACACTAAACTTCTTTAAATTGAAAAGGGTAAAGTTTATAAGCAAATGAAGTGGAGGAAAAAATACAACAGAAAATTAATATTCTTAAAGTCTTAAAATCTGTAATAAAAATTCTGAATCTCAACAGCTCAGCAAGTATAAAACAAAAACAAACAATTCCCTCACACATGTGTGTTCTCTCCTCTCTCTCTCTCACACACACACACACACACATATACACACACACACAATTACTTTCTCCAAGCAATGGCTAATAATCACATAAATCAACCAAATAACATAATGAGTAAACAATAGCACATATAAAGGGAAAGGAATACCAACAAATCGACAAGATAATTAATGATGATACTGGGTGAAGTTCTAGTAAAGCAAATTCTCTGGCATAATGTTGTTGAAGTATAAGTATCTGCAACACTTCCCAAAGCTGATGAGCAGTCTTACTAAAACTCCTTGGTTTTGAAATAGTAAATCAACTACGGCTATTCTAATGCAGTGAACTAACCTCCAACTAAAGAAAGCTTTCCAGTGGCAGCTGCTATTGCTGATGACACATCTGCTGCACTCACCAAACTTCTGCTGTTCACAAGGTGGGAGACAGTGACACCCATGAAAAGCTGGAAGGCCGGACTGGAATCAGGTATGAGACGCGCATGCTTGTTGTGACCATGTCAACGCTGTCTGCTGTTTTTTGTCAACTAGAAACAATTCCTATGTCCAGCAGAATAAAAGCAGGGACTCACATTATAGTGCCTTTACATGATAGAATAGTATGATGCATAAATGAGGGCCACTAATAACTTTCAACAACATGATCTATTATCATGTATAATATACAAGTATATGTTATAACAAATGTGAAAGCAGTAAGAAAATTTTGTTAGAATTAATTCAACCCTGTAAATTGCTAATCTTTTTTTTTAATATACTATAAAAAAAACTACATTAAATGCCAACAGCAATTTTCTTTGGTGGAAGGATTAAAGGTGAATTTTGCGCTTCTTTCACACTCAGGGTGAGGCGAAAGTAGGTTTATAGTTGTTCATATGGAAAATAATATAATTAATAACTTGTAATACAATAATAAAGTCTACTTTACATACTCACTACTGTAAACCTACTTTTGCTCCACCCTGTGTTTTCTATAATGAGCATTCACTGTTCACTATTTGATTCTATTTTTTTCATTCTTTCAGATTCCACACTTCAAAATTGAAAATTTTAGATAGTGAAGATAAGGATCATTAAATGCCTCTATCCTCAATTGTAGAGTTAATTTATTTATAATTTGGAACATTGATACATATTCTGGTAGACTTTATAATACATATGATTTGTGGGTAGAGAGTATATGTTTATGTACGTATATTTTTAAGATGAATAGGATTATATTAAAAATATTATTCTGCAATTTCTTCTTTCCAGTTAATAAGGTACCATACATAGCTTTTCATTACTTTTATAATCATAATTTTATTTTTTATATTATTACCATTAAAGTGAAGAACTCATTTCCATTACTCATAGAGCAAGTGCTGTACATAGGTACCAGTGGCTCTTGAAAAAGGCATTGTCTCCAAAAGTTCTGCTGCATCAGGCTCATGGGCTTGCTACAATTATTTATTTCTATGAATGAATGAACAGAGTAGTTCCCTGCTTAAACTCCTTAAAGAAACACCAATTAATTGGTTTTTCTTCGCCCATCTTTCTAGATAAAAACCTGTAGAATCAAATGGGCCTTAAGGTGTCAGAGTACACTTTTTGTAAAAAAGTTAAATCACCTTATTTGATGCATGCGGCAAAGGGTGTCCCATGTTATCCCATGATTTAAGTATGTCGACCTGTTCAACCTTGAGTGTTGTAAACATCTGCTTTTGCTTGTAATAAAAGAGGGAGATTTCATACCAGAGCACTTGCATGCAACGTAACTGTCAGATAGCCTAAAATAACTGCATGTTTGTCCTAACACGTGTAGGTAGCAGTATGCATGGGGTGCAAAATAAAACTGAAACCATGCGGACAAGTACACCGTGGGCCGGAGGCCACTGTGTCAATGGCACCCTGTCAAGGCTCTGGGTTTCCTGAGTGGGGGTTAGCCCACAAGAGTCTTGCCATTAAGATTTGTCTTTCTGAAAGCTTGCCCATTCACTGCCATTTCAACAGCAGAGGTAAGTGAAGCTCATCAGCAACCACAGTATCTGAACGTACACCACTGTTGAATCCTTCACTTCCCACTCAGATGCCTGACTTACCGAGGAGGAAGAGCGTGGAGTGTTTCTTCAATCATGTATCACACTAAAAGTCCACAGCCGTCTGCACACTCAAGCCCAACTCTCACACACTGACACTGCAAGAAAGGAAAAAATCATCCTATTTACCCAGTTTAAAAGATGTTGTAGTCATTGCTTATCAATTCTAGAAAGTTCCATTAGTGCATATTAAGCTGCTTTAGAAATGTAACACTCAGACTACAGTAACACAGGATGGCTTAAAAATGACAGGACAGTCCTGCCTTAATTACCTACCATCTGTGAACCAATAAACTTCTCTCTTCAGAAAAAGGAAAAATAAAAATTTGAATACTGTTAACATAAGAAAACAAATCCCAGGAAACAACATAAAACAATGAAAAGAACCATCATTTCAAATCCATTTAATTACTTTAAGCAATTTGAACATCAAAGTCAGATGGGTTGTGGGAATTTAACCATTTTATGATGGCTTTTTTGTGCCTTTTTTTGGAATACAATATCATAATTAATACATTTTAAAAAAAGAAGATTAAAGGCAGAAGTTGTAGAATAAACTAATACCCAAAATTTGAGTCGGTATTTTTATTTACATGTTCATTTATTTGTTGCACAATGTGAAACTTTATAGAAATAAATTATAAACCATAAAAATGATTCACTGTTGTAGACCGCTCTGCCTAGTTTTAGGAATTGTATCTCTACCCCTTGTAGCTAAGGGCAAGAGACGACCTCTGGAGTGCCAGCCACAGGAGACAAAGCCTGTCTCTGGTAGCAAACGCTGCCTCAGTTCCTCTCCCTGCCCCCAGAGCTTGGTCAGAAGACAATGACAGGTAAGACCCCTCACAGCGGGGGGCAACCTAAGCCAGACTGGATCACCTGGGAGGCCTTCATGGAAGGACTGGGAGGGGGGACTATGACAAACAGGGAGCAATGGACTCTCACCCCCATCCCCCCCGCCCCCCCCCACCTTTGACAAAGCCCAAGTCCCCATGTTTCTCTGGGAGAAGCTCTTCCTGGCTCTAACCCCCTTAAGCCTGAATACCTGTTGGGGAGAGGTACAGCTCCTTGCCTGGCCAGAGCGTGCCCTGGGGAAAAATCTGGCACCACAAAGACTTGCTGATAAACATGTGAAATCTGCTCTGCTAAGAGTGCTTTCATTCATATGATAAAGGTCCAAGAGGAAATGAGTATGTCTCCCAAAGTTTCTGCAACTTCCTGACATACATTCACTCAGACTGAAACCCTGAGACCTCTTTGAAATGTTATCTACTGTTTGATCCTTGCCGCCCTGTATTCCTGTGTATTACAACCCAATAAAATGCTATGGAGAAAGGCACTTGGGGCCTTTTTCTCCTCGGAGAAACTGGCCACTGCTGGCCTCTTTCTCCCCAGAGAAACTGGCCATAGCCCACGCCTTCATCCCCAAACAGATATCATCTTGTCTCGGCCATATTTACTCACTCACGTGTGTCCGTGGCACCAGGGGGACCTCGAGAAAGAAGTCGCCCCCACAATTCACTTTACTAAAACCAAAGCAAGATATCCAATCTCTTCACGCAACTTAACATGTGAAAACACTGAAAACTTGAGGGTGTTGTGTGATACAATGTCTACCACAAAACACCAGCCTCCCTAGAGCCACGTGTTCCAAGAAATGAAACTCTCTCCATTTCTTATTAATAAAGGAAATGCGTCCATTGTTAAAGACGCCTGTGACTTCAAATACTGCACTTCAGGGATCACGCTTTCTCTGTTGTCCTTCTTCACAGTTTCTTTCTACTCTCCAGAGTTTGTAGCTTCCAGCTGCCATAAACCTGAAACACACTGATGTTGCTTATTCAACACACAGGCAGCAGCTGAGAATGATGACAAGAAAAGGAGAACTTCCCAGAACATTCTGGAACATTCTGGCGATTCCTCTACACGATAATTCCCACACCGTCTCCTTCAGTAATTATCTAAAAGCCATCTGCCTGCTGAAAATAAAGTAAATTACAGCATCTGGAATTTTTTAAAGTTTTGTCTCTGCTAAAGAGTAATTTTGAAGTCCCCCAGTTCAGAGGTTGGAGGGCAGCAGCTAGGTAACATTGTCTCTCCGAGTGGCTGCTGTCTCCTGGAGGTGCCTTTGGAGAGTTCATGGGAGGCAAGGAGATTATCCAAAGCAAAGCATTCAGAATTGCCCAAGAAGGCACCCACAGCCCAGGTGCACTGACACACAGGGCGTCCTGGATACTGGTGTGGTCCCGACAGAGTCTTTGAAAGTTCGTGACATCATCCTTTGGAAAGGAGAAGGCACAGATGCAAATCCTTGAGGCCAAAAGAGGATAAGAGAGCTCTCCCCAAGGTAAGGAGGCATCCTCAGCCCAGGAAAAATTCCTAGGAGCGGCCAATTCTTTGTTACAGCACCAATAATAACTCCTATGGGTGTGGCAACAAATATGTTAGTTGGGACTTCTTCATTAAACAGCATGTTTAAATAATTCAACCTTCTCTCTGGAGCCCTAAAATCTGTTTTATAATTAGCACTAAAATGTCCTTGTATGTGTTTGTACCTTAATCAAAGTTTACGTAGTAAAGTTGGACGGATCCACTGGTTGCTGCCATGAATACCTAGAGATTTCTATCGGCTCCCATGTGTCAGAATCAAATTAAACACAGGGCTGATAATTAGGTCTGGAGGCTGAGTTTTCCTCTCCTCCCCCAGTGAGGTCATCTGCTCGCTGATGAGGCCCCTTCACGGGGACATCCAAGAGTGAGGCCTGCAGAGGGTGGCCAACCTCTTAAACGGCAAAGCAGATGGAGGCCAAAAGGACGCCTTGAGAATTCAGAATCGTTGATGCAACCAGACAACAAATATTATAGGAAGAGAACATCCCTGCTGAATCTAGGCCTCTTCCTTGTGAAAAGGCAACGTTCAAGTGACCATACGCCAAGCACAGGATTCTCATGGCTCATGGGACAAGGGGACAACACAACAGGGTCTAGAATCTGATGTCTAAACCAAAGCTCAGTTCCGCCAGCAGGATTTGGGCAAATAATACGCCCTGGAAGGTTTTACTATACTGGTGTTTATATCAACAATAAAAAAAAAATTTTACCACCCTGGAGCAAGAAGGCCAGTGAACAGCATCAGGATGTTCTGCTCCCTAAGGCCCACCCCTGTCCAGGTAGGAGTTCCAGCCTCTAGAGGCATATCCATCACTCAGTACAACACTCACACACATGAGCAGAAATCGCAGCAACAAAGCAGTGGCCTTGAATGGGAGCTAAATGAAAGCCACAGACGATGACCCTGTCAAGTCTGAAGGCTGAACTAACCCATCCTCCCCAGTGAGGTCATACATTAGCTGATGTATAAACCATAAATCACTGCTACATCTGCTGGAAAATGGACTAGGTATAAAAAGGACAAAGCTCCAGAGGCTGGCCTCAGACTAGAGGGTGAAATATTTTAAGCTGGATATTTAACTACCCATTACATAAGAAGCTGCATGTGTTTTATTAACATGTAAATGTCTCCGCTGGACTCAATCCCATATTATTCTTATTCTTTTCTCTTTTAGCTTAGTGTCATCTTTAATAGAAAGTCCTTTATGTCATAATCCTCAATCAGAGCCTTGCCCCCCAAAGCCCACCCCAGAAATACACTTTTGCAGAACTAGCTGCCTGCAAGGTGTTGCAATTTACAAATGATAAACCATTCCCAGAATTACCCAATAGCCACCTTCACAGGCTCTTAAAATTTTCCCTAAACTGAACTGCATGAATAAAATTTTTAAATCAGTTACAACTTACGAAGTGATCCTCAACGCATGCCTTTTTGCTAGAACATGCAACCTTCCCCCAGCCCATTCTACTCAGAATGAGGAAAAAATGTGGATTTAAACATTCTCTGGAGATCAAAGGTCAGCTGACTGGTGGCCATTATCCTACAGATACATGAGACAAATAATAATTTCAGGCCAGTCTCACTAGCTCAATTCAGAAACCAATGACAGTAAAATCAGAAGAAATAAAATTAAAATGGATGAGACCACCTGGCACCATAAAGACACCTAGTGAAGGAATGGAAAGAAGCCCCACCAGGGCAGATTTAAGAAAAGTATGAGCTGTTGGACTAGGGTTTCCCAGCTTCCAAGAATTTTACCAGTGACTGTAGAGTTTGAGAGACATGTCGTCATTAGTTAAGAGGTCAGTGAACCGCCATACACAGCACACCCCATGGCCAAGGTAAGCGGGTGAAAGACAAAGCAAGGACCAACTATGTCCTTAGTAGCTCACACCAGGCACTGTCTGATTTGTGTGCTATACAGTTCAGTAAAGCTATGAAGTTGAGGAAAGGGAGGTTACTTCCGGGTGGAAGATCAGGGGAAGCTTTCTGGACAAAGAGAAATGTGATCTGGGCTTTGAGGATATTAGGAGTTGGTGAAGATTATTTTACTGGGGTGCATTACAGGTGGAGCAAATGGTAGATCAGACAGACAAGAAACCCTGAGAATCCTTGGATGAAAGGAAGAGCCATGGTAGCCACAGCCATGCTGAGTTGCAGCATGAACATCTGGTCCCACCCCTAGGGCAGGTGAATTCACAGAAAACCAATCTTGGAGCCACCTGAGATAGGAGTGAGGACTGAACTGGGGCAGGAGAAGCAAAGCAACTTTGCTACAGTGCAAAGTCAGCACCCGAGTGCAGCAGGAACCATAGATGGACAGCTGGTCTCATGCTCAAGTTTGTGGAGGAAGATAAGGAAGCAAAGACAATGGGTTCCAAGCGGGAGGCTGAGGGGCAGGGAGGGCCAGCATCAGGATTGTGTGGACCAGCAAGGTGGCCCCTGATACACACTGCAGCTAGCCATGGCCAAGTGTGAGAAAGGCTGGAAGGAACTGCTTTACGACAAAGCAAATCACTGGAGAACACTAGCAAGAAAAAAAGATGAGACTTCGCCCAAGAGAAGGAGTCACTGACGGCTCAGTGGAAAGCCAAGGCAAGAGTGGAGTTTAGGAGAATCCATACGGCAGCTCTGCAGAGGACAGGCGGGGAGGGGAGAAACTGGGGCATGAAACGCCCCAAGAGAACTTTAGATTCTAAAATACTT